AGCTCCACTGATATTCTTCGAAGACGTCAAGTTGTTGCCAGTTTCAAGTGAGTGCATTGTAATATTGGGTCATGGTGAGCTCCCTTTGTCGCAGGTCGTGTAGATGTGTTTCAATCTCGAAGATAGCCGAGGTATTGTATCGGCTGGAGTAGAACTCGCACGCAGCCACCTAGATGTCGTGCGCGGTTTCATACAACAAAAAATTCTCTCAATCTCTGTTGTCATTGAGTTGATCAACCAAGACATTATAAGGTTGTTTTCAATCTTCTATGAACGAGCTCTTGGATCATCCGCTGCTGGTTGAACAACTTTTCCTGTAAGGTATTCATCTCTATTCTTCCCTTGGATGAACATGAGTACAAATGATGTCCATTGGAGATAATTACTCTTATTCAGTCTATGTTCAGTGACAAATAAAGGTGTTTGATCAACGTGAGAATGGTTGATAGGCATTGGATTATAGGAACCTGAAATAACTTCAGGAGGAGAAGAGTTTTGCTCATCCATGGCCATTTCGGCTTGAGTTGGATGATGAATGATTGTGGATCAGAGTTGCTGCTCTGATACCATGAAGAAAATAAAGAAAGAAGGTTTTTGAGAAGAGGAGAATTCCTCTGATTTTCCTTGTGATTACATGGGCACAAATGTGTCATTATATAGGTCATCGGGCAAGACAAAAATCGTTAAAAATATGCTAACAAAATAGCTAAAAATGGTAGAGAGAAATACTCATTTGTCCTAACAATCTGAGAAAAGATTAAGTTGCCCATAGTGTAAGTATACATGTATATATATACATTTCCTACATATGTACATTTTACAGAGAATAGCATTAAAGTCTCTCGCTTATTCTTTGCCGACGACACTCTAATTTTCTGTCAACCTGATAAAAAGAACTTACTACATTTAAAGTATGTACTTTTGTGTTTCCAATCTATTTCAGGAGTCAAAATTAACCTCTATAAATCTGAAATGGTAAGAATTGGTGGCAGTGAGGATGCTGGGCTGTTTGCCAGAATTTTGGGTTGCAAAGAGGTAAAAATTCCCATTCAAATATCTCGTGCTTCTGTTAGGCGTTAAATATAAAGACCATATGTTTTGGGAACCGGTGATTGAATTGTTTGAAAGAAAACTTGTAAAGTGGAAGAAAAACTTTCTTTCTAAAGGCGGGAGATATACCTTAATCAAGAGCACTTTGGCTACTCTCCCAATTTATTACCTTTCAACAATTACTATCCCCACCAAGGTGGCAAAAAGTTGGAAGCAATATAATGTAGATTTTTTTGGGGTAATAATGATGATGAAGTGAAAATATCATATTGTGAAATGGGATACTATCAAAGAACCCCTTATCAAGGGGGGGTTGGAGATTAGATCCATGATTGATATGAATAATGCACTTCATGGTAAGTGTTGTGGAGATATTCGAAGGAAGAAAAAAGGTTCTGGAGGAGGGTTGTGCATTCGAGATGGGGCAAGCACATGGATAGGAGGGATGGCTG